AACGCTTTTAACAAAACATAGTGTCTCAGCTAATGAGCATCATCTAAATTGTTGTCCAACAACAAGCCTTCTACAGGTTCAGTTCATCCCACAAGATCAGTCTCTCCCACAAGATCAGTCCCATGTCCAGTCTCTTCCACATCATCAATCCCATGTACTAAATCAGTATCAGTCTCATATCTAGTCCCTTTCACTATCATGTTCAAAAGTAGCAGTCCATTCCAAAGAATCCCTTGTCCAGCAACCAATATAGAGTAATGTTCCACAGCAGGCATAGCATGTCCTCCCAAAAGGGCAGTCTGAAGATCAGTCCCATGTCCAGTCACTTCCACAACCTCAGTCCCATGTACTAAATGGATATCAGTCCCATATCTAGTGTCTTCATTATCATGTCCAAAAGTAGCAGTCCATTCCAAAGAAGGAGTTCCTTGTTCAGCAGCCAATGTAAAGTAATGTTGAACAGCAGGAATAACATATCCTCCCAAAAGGGCAGTCCGATCCAAATCACTACTTGTCCCATCTAAACGTAACTCCCTTGTCCAGCATCCAATGCAGAGTAATGTTCAACAGCAGGCATAGCATATCCTCCCAAAAGGGCAGTCTCATGTCCAGTCCCTTCCACAACCTCAGTCCCATGTACTAAATGGATATCAGTCCCATATCTAGTGTTTTCACTATCATGTCCAAAAGTAGCAGTCCATTCCAAAGAATCCCTTGTCCAGCAACCAATATAGAGTAATGTTCCACAGCAGGCATAGCATGTCCTCCCAAAAGGGCAGTCTGAAGATCAGTCCCATGTCCAGTCACTTCCACAACCTCAGTCCCATGTACTAAATGGGCATCAGTCCCATATCTAGTGTCTTCATTATCATGTCCAAAAGTAGCAGTCCATTCCAAAGAAGGAGTTCCTTGTTCAGCAGCCAATGTAAAGTAATGTTGAACAGCAGGAATAACATATCCTCCCAAAAGGGCAGTCCGATCCAAATCACTACTTGTCCCATCTAAACGTAACTCCCTTGTCCAGCATCCAATGCAGAGTAATGTTCAACAGCAGGCATAGCATATCCTCCCAAAAGGGCAGTCTCATGTCCAGTCCCTTCCACAACCTCAGTCCCATGTACTAAATGGATATCAGTCCCATATCTAGTGTTTTCACTATCATGTCCAAAAGTAGCAGTCCATTCCAAAGAATCCCTTGTCCAGCAACCAATATAGAGTAATGTTCCACAGCAGGCATAACTGAAAAATTATTACTAAAGAAATTCTTAACACTTTCATCAGAATCCATTAGAAAGAGTTGATCTAAATTTTGATCTAAGGCTGTAATTGAAAACTTAGTCTCTACTGTCTAGCCAAATGCTACTATAACATATTTTTTTAGTTCTACCAAAGTATATGTAGAATTAAAAGAAAATGGGATTGTTCAATGACCATTAACTAATCTGGCTATCACAAATTTTGTATGATCTACAACAATAAAAATGAAAAAGTTAGATCATGTTTAAAGTCAAAATAAAACAGAATAAAAGAGTTGGAGTTACCATTAGGTTGTTCTTGACATATTATAATTCCTTTACCTTTGTCTTTTGAAGGGTCATGTGTATGAAGTGTAGACACAGGGTCATGTATAGGAAGTGTAGACACAGTCAAATTATCAGACCACCAAGGAGAAAAGAAATAGATTAAAACTGTGTACCCAATTGCAGGTTAACATTTTTTTTATTAAGTAATTATTTAATATAAATTTTTATTTTTATTTATGTCTTGTTTTATTTTTTCAGAAGGTTGGGTACACAATTTTAATCTATTCCTTTTCTCCTTGGTGGTCTGATAATTTGACTGTGTATACACTTCCTACACATGACCCTTCAAAAGACAAAGGGAAAGGAATTGTAATATGTCAAAAACAACCTAATGGTAACTCCAACTCTTTTATACTGTTTTATTTTGACTTTAAACATGATCTAACTTTTTCATTTTTATTATAATTGTCGATCATACAAAATTTGTGGTGGCCAGATTAGTTAATGGTCGTGGAACAGACTCATTTTCTTTTAATTCTACCTATACTTGGTAGAACTAAAAAAATATGTTATAGTAGCATTTGACTGGACAACAGAGGCTAAGTTTTCAATTACAACCTTAAATCAAAATTTAGATAAACTCTTTCTAATAGATTCTGATGAAAGTGTTAAGAATTTCTTTAGTAATAATTTTTCAGTTTATTATATTGATTTAGTATTAGAGTATAGTAAGGCAATAACTGGAAAAAAAAAGGGTGGAGGTTGGAGTATCAATTGATAGTTTTAAACTGATTGATGAGACCATTGCCAAAATACCTACTTATAGGGACCAGAGCTTCTAGGGACAATATCCTAACAAAATTGTTTAGAGGTAACTTTTCTGCTAATTTATTTTTAGGTGCCATAATTTCTATTTTGTGTAAATTTTTAATTAGTCTATGTTTGGTTTACTTTAGCTTCTATGTATACTGTTACTTGCCTTCGTCAGCGGTTGTTGACTTGCTCATCTGGTGTTGTACTGACAAAAAAGTTACGTTTAGGTGAGACAAGTAGTGATTTGGATCGGACTACCCTTTTGGGAGGAGACAAGTAGTGATTTGGATCGAACTGCCTTTGGGAGGATATGTTATTCCTGCTGTTCAACATTACTCTACATTGGCGGCTGGACAAGGGACTCCTTCTTTGGAATGGACTGCTTCTTTTGGACATGATAGTGAAGGCACTAGATATGGGACTGATGCCCATTTAGTACATGGGACTGAGGTTGTGGAAGGGACTGGACATGGGACTGAACTTGTTGGAGGGACTGATCTTCAGACTGCCCTTTTGGGAGGATATGTTATGCCTGTTGTTGAACATTACTCTACATTGGTTGTTGGACAAGGGATTCTTTCTTTGGAATGGACTGCTACTTTTGGACATAATAGTGAAGGGACTAGATATGGGACTGATGTTGTGGAAGGGACTGGACATGGGACTGAACTTGTTGGAGGGACTGATCTTCAGACTGCCCTTTTGGGAGGATATGTTATGCCTGTTGTTGAACATTACTCTACATTGGTTGTTGGACAAGGGATTCTTTCTTTGGAATGGACTGCTACTTTTGGACATAATAGTGAAGGGACTAGATATGGGACTGATGTTGTGGAAGGGACTGGACATGGGACTGAACTTGTTGGAGGGACTGATCTTCAGACTGCCCTTTTGGGAGGATATGTTATGCCTGTTGTTGAACATTACTCTACATTGGTTGTTGGACAAGGGATTCTTTCTTTGGAATGGACTGCTACTTTTGGACATAATAGTGAAGGGACTAGATATGGGACTGATGTTGTGGAAGGGACTGGACATGGGACTGATCTTGTGGGAGGGACAGATCTTGTGGAATGGACTGATCTTGTGGGATGGATTGAACATGTAGAAGGCTTGTTGTTGGACAACAATTTAGATGATGCTCATTAGCTAAGACAGTATGTTTTGTTAAAAGCGTTGTAAAACATTCCTTGTTTTTGTTATCAATAAGAGAATATTTTAGCTTTTTTGTATTTCTGATTTTTGTGGTTTATGAATATGTTGCTTGTATTTGTAGATCATCTACTTGGTTTTGTAGATATCGAGTTTTTAGTAAATCAGTCCATGTTATTGTTCATATCATTTTGATGTTTTCAAATGTTCTCC